AAATATTAATCTCATGTAAAAAGTTGTGTTATCTGGCTCTGGAAGTTTCAGTACTATGATGCACACTTTCTTCTGATGCCACAAATACAGATTTGGGCATGGAACATTTAACTTATGCCAAGATACACTGCAGTAAAGCTTTTTAGTTTGTTGATGAAAGAAGAATTCAATCAATTTGGGTAAAATTCACACCAGGTGCGTATGTCATTACAGAATTTACAGACCAAGATACTCTACTGTCTCCCAATATTTCAGTCACTTACCATTTCCCAGAAAGGTAGCCATGTAATTTCTCTAGCAGCAACATAAGAAACCAAAAGGTTTTTGGGATGCAGCTTAAAGACTAACACTATTTATTATGGGATAAGCTTTCATGGACTACTGGACCACCTTTATCAAAGCATGAAGTAATATTCTGATTTACAGATATACATGTTGGAGGGGGTAGTGGCAGAAACGATTTTGAACAGCTGAGGTCAGATGGAATGAAATGTAGAAAATGACAGATTGCAACAATTACATTACTAAACAGGTGCCATTAACAAAAAAAGCAGCCAATGATAACACAGACACAAACAGTTGTAAGCCAATTGAACAAAAATAGCATGATAACAATCCATTGGCCAATTCAGGTTTTGTTCTGTAAACAAACAGCACTTGAGACAAAAGATATCAGTACACCCTGATTTTTTTTTGCCACAAGGGTACTGTATTTTTTTGCTTTATAGGACGCACTTTTTCCCCTCCAAAAATTAAGGGAAAATGTGTGTGCGTCTTATGGAGAAAATGCAGGCTCCTTGGCTTCAGCGATAGCAACACAAAAGCCTCCGAAGCGCAGAGGGAGAGCTCCCCCGCGCTCTGGAGGCTTCACGTTGCTTTCGCTGAAGCCATCTGAAAGCCCCGGAGTGCAGCGGGAACTCCGCTGTTGCTCCGGGGCTTTCAGGCAGCTATCCGCAAGCCTTCAGAGTGCAGCAGGAGTTCCCGCTGCGCTCAGAAGGCTTGCGGATAGGATAGCCGCTTGAAGCCTGAAGCCCCGGAGCACAGCGCGAACTCCCGCTGCGCTCCAGGGCTTCCAGGCAGCTATACGTAAGCCTTCGGAAGGGGCTCCGTTTTCTCCTGCCGCTCGCTGAAGGGGTGCTGAGCAGAGAGGGGGAGAATATTTTTTTTCCTGTTCTCCCCTTCCTATGGTCCGGTGCGTCTTATAGAGTGAAAATATGGTACTTTTTTTGTCCCAGTCAATGTAAAGATGGGGTATAAAAAAAAAGTGTCATTGGGTTTTTATCCAGGAAAGCACTCTGAAGAGATAACAACCATTTCATAAAGATAACAATGGGCGTTTTTGCCAGGCTTAACAACCATTAAAATGCATGGTACTGTCAATGCTACCTTTATGACTGGCTTTGGCTATTACTTCTATATGCTTCATAGCTGCCTTCAGCATTTTCCTTGTAATAACCGTTGAATATCCACCTGGATGAGAAGCAGAAGAGGAAATCATTTTCCTTATTATTAATAAAAAGATGACAACAAAGTGCATTTGCTTATATAGCAACATTCAAGCTGCATAATTTAGTGTCAAAAACAAGACAAGTATGAAGGTTCTTGTTTTAATTGTCAATTAGATGCAAGAGCTTAATTCAGCCAAAGTGTCCAGCATAAAGGACTGTAAGTACACAAACTATTTCAAAAGTCACTGCCTCCAGAAAACTCTCAAGTACTGTACATCTGAGGGGGGCTGGGAACATAAATTCCCACTCAACCTAAGATACAATTCCCAAGATTATTTGAAAAATACTGCAAGCACTGGACTGGTATAAAACAGATATGAGGCTGCGGGGGGGGGGGAGCACCAGTGTTTCCCAAGTAATCCTTTGCTACCATCTTCTAAAAAGCCCAACCGAAAATGATTTACTTTCGATTCAACACCATAGCGCTGTTACCTTGTATATTCGACGAATTACTGCAGATGCAAAAATCTCAGTGTGACTCTTAATTCATCCACAGATGATTCATCATCAGTTATTTCCCTGCAAAATTTCAAAAGAAAGCACTGTGCATCATTATTGATAAGCAAATACATCCATCTCTGTTCCTGTTTAGTCATTTCATAGTATGCTTATTAAAGTTGAGGTAATTTTAATCTATTTTAGTATTTTAACCTTTGTATGTTTTAAAATTATGCCTGCTATCTTTTCTAGATTTTTATTTTTTTTTTGTAAACCACTTGGAGTGGTGGTGTTGTTGTTTAACAATCAAGCAGTGAAATAAATAATTAGGTTAATATGGCTCCGGACGCTATCTACAGGAAACGATACACTGAACAACATTTCACAGATTCCCAAACTATACTCCCAAATTTTCATGCTCACCAGACAATCAAAGTGAGCTTTTAATTTCTAAATATTACGAAATCCATTTGTTGTTCTTTTTTATTCCCCCTCACCTTTCCTTCTTCTTTTTCTGAATCACTTTATTTCTTTTAATTGAAATCACTTCAATAAAATATAAATAAATAAAACTACATTTAGTGGCTTAAATAATTATATATAATTATACATAATGAGGCTAAAAGGCCAGCCCTTTGTGTTTCGTATACTTTAAGCCTTATCAGTGAACAAATCCTCAAAGCGCTCTTATTTTAAGACAAGATGGTATTTCAGCTCCCTCTGCTGTCTTAATGAGGCAAAGCTTTAAAATACAACATTGATCCAAGGAACCTCTACCATCCACAGGTTAAGAATTTGCACACAAGAACAGGATTTGCCAAATGAATTGTCTTATATGCCATCCATTGTAACTTCTATGTGTAGATGGATATAGGGCTACTTAAAAAACTACTGAATAAAGATTCATTGAAGGAATCTTACCTGTACCAAGGATAAACAAAGTTTTCCAGCACAAGCTCAAACACCTGCAAATAAAATCACAGTGACAAATTAAATAATGCATTAAAATATTCCCAATAAAAGAGGCAACTTAGAGGGATGGCATGCCACTGGCAGAAGCATTTCAGCAACAAAGGCGGCTGCGTATACTGCATGAATCTTCAGCCCCAAAAGCATTTAAAAAGCAATGTGGGGTACAGGTCTGGGGATTCAATGTTCAGGTTCTTGTATGCCCAAAAATGTTGGTAGAGGGGTGGCAGAACTGCAGCCGTGCATTTCTTCAAGAATCAACTGGTCTGTTTACTACCAGCAATGTGAGCGGCAACAAGCCAAAATATTTCCCTTTCCCATTGATGCAGTGACAGAAAGAAAATCACCCTCTTACACAGTGCTCCTTATTTATTTATTTTTACAATCAATTATAATTTGAAAAATGATAAAAGTGCTCTTTTTTCATAAATATTCATAGGACAGTGTGAACGGAATGGTTTACTTGCTTAGGCCTCTAGGTAAAAAGCTGGGAGCTACTCTCAAGTAATTGGAGTGATCTTATACAGTTGAAGCATCTATGCTGCTCCTAGGTTTCAAGTCAGAGCTGGGGCCTGGTAATTAGGAACCGGTTTCAGCTATGAAAAGCACGTACACTAAAGTGCTAGGAGGTTCTAGGTGTTAAGTCTTCTGATTGGTTTGGGGGACTCGGCCTCAGTTTGTTATAATTTTTACTGTTAGGCTAGCCATTGCTCCTTTTTTCTCCATTTAATTTCCATTTAGTCTCCTTTTGCCTTCCTTGACTTTTTATCTGGAGATCATATTTGCTATGCTATAGATTTTCGTTTCTGAATCATTATTTTGTGGTATGTATAGGATTCAGAATTACCTTTTTTATTTTAGTCTGATTTATATTTCCTAAATATAGCTATCAACTGTACTTTGGTCCCCCTTACATGCAGTTATTTTTATTCCATTTTCTTCTTGTTCTTTTTTAATAGAGCTATCTTATTTCGGATTGGATGCAAGCCTTGGTACTGAATCCAGTTCCTAACTACTTGTTACTGAGTAATTGGCTAGCCTGAGGCTCAGAGAGCATTTAGCTCTTTATTTTTTAAGCTTTTGCTTCTCTGGCATCTTAGGGGTGTCCAGTAAGGTATGGGAGGTCTCCTTGCCCAGACTAGATAAGGCATGACGGAAGTATACTTTGCAAGGTTGTTGGCAGCCCTGGGTATTAGACACCAGCTGACCCCCCAAAGATGGGCCCCACATTTTAGGGGCAAGATCTTTGCAGGTGGTATTGAATGAATCCATCCTGTCAACAGAGGGATTTTCATTTATGCAAAACAGGACCTTTCCCCTCCTCTCCTCCTGGAACTGATTTTGGATGGGGAGGACATTCTATTGCACAAGCAAAAATCCTTGCACCGGCTGAACATTCGCGTAGCGTTATGTTGGATCCACCCATAATTTATTAATTCTTACAAACAGGGCAAATGCAAAATTCTGGTATTCAAAGCAAGGGTGATAGTGATTTGTTTTAACACCTGGTGATGCTAAACAGTTAACCTCTGAGAGAGATGCATCAACTTTAGAAGGGACTTTCAAGTTCAGCCATGGCTGATAATTCTGTAGCAGAAATGTAGGCCTATAGAATAAAGAAGATTGTTAAGCAGTGGTCCATTCCTCAAGGTACAAAAAGATAATTAAAATGCTATTTTTCACTTACCTGTGCCTATTACATTTGACGCTACTACATACTGTACAGGTGTAACCTTGAGGATATAGTTCTTGCAGTTCTAATTGCTAAGAAAACAAACAAGCGTTCTATTACTCATAATCCTAAGGAAATAATTCAGCATTGGCCATGTTTAATGATTATGCAATGAAACTAACCACATAAGAAGAAATGTTGACAGAACAATAAAAACAAAAATAAATACTGAAAAAGTCTGCATCCCCCACCCCCACCCCAAAATCAAGGCTTGTAACATCAAGCAAATATTCACACCACAGCACATCTCAAATGTCTTTAAATTAGGCTACTCTCCTAAACTCATTCTGCTTTCACCTTCCTGCTCCTTCCCACAATCTTATCTTGCTGCAGTCCCACTTGTGGAACAATGCTTGATCCAGCTGAAGCATCTACCAAATAGAAGAGAAGGTCTGTTGTTGTTTTTTCCAATTCCTCCTTCCACCATAGCATTATACCTTCCACCCTCCAACCCTCCAGAACTGATCTGAGAGGGACATAGGTGACTGCAGAGGGAAAGGGAGTGGGAAATGGCAAAAAATGCCTCTCCTTCTGTTACATTAGCTGACACTTCCACTAAATCAAATGCCATTCCACAAGTGGACAGCAGCAATGGATTTCTTCCACTACCTATGAATCTGCTAAAGCAAAGGGGGGAAAGGCAGCAATGCCAAACCTCAGCTGGGGGTGAGAAAGGAGTGAGATGACGGCTCTACAGGCTCTTTTCCCTTCTCACCAGCAGCTTCATACCAGGACATTCTTTTCATTTATGGCAGAAGCATTCAGTGATGCCAAACCTTGGCTGGTGGTTGAGGAGGAAAAGTGCGTCTAAGAATCCTCTCACACTTGGAACTTCATGCCACCCACTTACAATATCCCAACCTTTTCTTCATTTGGTACTTTCTCTTCCCCCCCCCCAACCCAATGAAATCTATCCCCTCAGCCCCAGCTGGGTTTTGACACTGAAAAAGTAAGCCCAGGTTTCGGGGGGGGGGTGCAGAAGGCTTAGCATGTTCCACCTGTGCACACCCCCTTCCCCTTGAAACTGTACACAGCATCATTTAGAAATATTTGTACATGCACAGTCCCTCCATCTCTTCAAAATAAGCATGTATGCCTTTTGCAAATACATTTTGATGAGGCATATGTTCCATACAATCTACAAATATTTCTATATTTTTCAGTAAAATAAATGGCTATCAAATAATTTCATTAAACATCAGCCTTTTAACTAATTTAATCTACATTTGTATATTACCCAAGTCTCAACATAGGTACTTTTTGAGATATTGAAGGAAGTGTGCCAAATGCAGTATTTAATAAACAAAGATGCTGTAAACTTGCAGCAGCGTCAACTAAAAGTAGTTCTTGATCATTAACTAATGTTTCAGTTAAATTGCATAAACCTAGTGCTCTGACAATGATAAAAGAAAGCAGTATTCAGTTGTTTCTTCCATATGAGGTATCAAAAGCATACTAATGAAGTTATACTTTACCTTGGTTTTATGTTTTATGGTAAATAGAATATTGGGTAAGAGGGAATCTGGTCCTAAGGAACAATAGAATGTGACAACTCCCGCCACAAATGACCAGAAGGTCATGAGAATGTGAAGATACCTCAAAAATAAAGAGAAAAATTACAATCTACAAAGCAGCACAAAAACGTATATCAGGTTATGCTTCTACTACGAACTTTGGAAAACCATATTCAACACTACATATACTATAACAGAAATTTACACAGCTATCAAGACAATCATATCAGATGCTGTTGGACTAAGATTTCCATCAACCCCAACCAATTTGACCAACGGGCTACAACTCTCATCATTCCTGAGCAACATCTGGAGACTACAAATTCTCCATACTTGTGCTAAATGGTGAAGAAAGTGTTTGCTTATTTCAGTGCCAAACCTACAAGTGCCAAGACTTAGGAGCCTGAATGGGAATAAGCATAATGCAGTAAGTGACTGTGCAGTATCTAAAGTCATAAATGTTAAAAGAGATATGGGTACTCCTCCAAAATATCAGAGTCACTGCTGCAAAGAGACCATCATTAACAGTTGGGATAGCTTAGTCAGTAGAGATTGAGACTCGGAATTTGTGGGTTTAAGCCCTATGTTGGGCAAAACATTTCTGCATCGCAGAGGGTCAGACTATATGAGCCTTGTGCTCCCTTCCAACTCTACAGCTCTATGATTCAACTTATTCTAAGCATTGTGAGACTCTGCCCCCAACTGGTGCAAATTCACACACAATGTCCTTTGCTCACAAGCAGCGTTTTGATGGTGTTGCAGGAGGGTGACAGATACCAGTGGCGTAGCGTGGGTTGTCAGCACCCGGGGCAAGGCAAGTAATTTGCGCCCCCTAACCCGTGGATTTGCGCCCCCTAACCTGTGGATTTGCGCCCCCTAATCCGTGGATTTGCCCTAACCCCAGATGTTGCGCCCGGTGCGGCCGGCCCCCCCTGCACCCCCCACGCTACGCCACTGACAGATACTCACACTGGGCCTCTCCTTGACAGGGAGAAAGGAGAGGTTGCAGCAAAGAAAAGTGCTCTTGTGAAAAAAGGTGGGGGTAGTGGTTCGTAGAAACGATCCCCACACGTGTAATTTCACTTCAGCGAGGGGGGCGAACGGAGGTCAACGTAACGTAAAGACAGCCCTCCTTTCTGTTTATTGACTTTTGTGCCCTACCTTTGCTCTTAAAACACCAAAACCCGAGCAGTTTACTAAAAAGGGTTTATCACGCCCCTTCCACAGCCGTCCTTCCGGCTACACCTACAAAGGGATGTGTTTTATTTGACTGGTGGCAAATACATTTCGACCTGAAGCGCCTTCCGCGAGTAGGAGAGCGGACTCTGCCCCGCTCGCGCGCTTCCGTGACGGGGAGCACCCCAGCGCCGAACCCGCTTCGCCCCCCCCCCATCCCCGTTACCGGCTGAGCAGGAGCGTCGCGGCACTGAGCCCCAGGAGGAGGCAGCAGAAGAGCGGGTACTGGCGGCACGTCTCGCGCAGCGCCTCCGCGCCGCGCACGCGCCGGCACAGCTTCTCCCCGGCCGCGCGCACCCGCCTCATGGTGGAGGGGGCCGTGGCGGAGCACGGGAGCCCGGCTGCACCTGCGGACCCCGCGGTCAGGAAAACACCCGGGACTCGGCGCTCCCGACTTCCGGTTTCTCTCACGTGATCTATAGTCCCACCCCGCTTTCTCTCACGTGACTTCCCACACACCCACCGCCGCGAAAGAGGCGGGCCAATGCTGCCACGTGTCCCAGGCAGGAAGTTGGCGCCGAGCGGCTCCCCGAAGCGCTTTTTCCATTTTGGTTCCCCTCGATCTCTTGGGGAGAGCTCCTCTGAAAAGCGCAGCAACCCTCTGCGCGCCTCTTCCCTCCGCCCGCTTGGGTACCCTATTCCGTGGGCAACGGAAAAGGGCGGGGGGAAGCGGAACCGCTGAAGCACTTCCGCCCACTCTTGCAGACTTCCAATTTGTAAAAAAGGTAAAGGGCCAGTCTTGACAGACTCTGGGGTTGTGCGCCCATCTCACTCAAGAGGCCAGGGGCCAGCGCTGTCCAGAGACACTTCCGGGTCACGTGGCCAGCGTGACAAGCTGCATCTGGCGAGCCAGAGCCGAACACGGAAACGCCATTTACCTTCCCGCTAGTAAGCGGTCCCTATTTATCTACTTGCACCCGGGGGTGCTTTCGAACTGCTAGGTTGGCAGGCGCTGGGACTGAGCAGCGGGAGCGCACCCCGCCGCGGGGGATTCGAACCGCCGACCTTTCGATCGGCAAGCCCTAGGCGCTGAGGCTTTTACCCACAGCGCCACCCGCGTCCTTCCAATTTGTAGAAGGAAGTAAAAGCGCTCAAAATGGCGGCCCGACGAAAGCCGGGACGGGGGAAGCAAGGAAACATTCGCCAACTCAATATTCAAGGAAACAATATTCCCATAGGTCTTGCATGCTACTAAATAGCCGGCGCAGCGTCCGAACAAGCAGTGGTCTTTACGACACGTACGTCCCTCAGGACCTGCTCACCCTTAGCCACAAAGGAAAGGCCAGTTGCTGCACCCTTTGAGCACAAATAATAATAAGCCAACCAAGGATGCTGCGGTACCTTCAGGTACGGAGGTACCGACATCTATATAAGGTTGTTGTGACCTAGCCTGTTGTCAGATGCATGTTCCTGTCCTTTACAGCAAAGGCTGTTAGCCTCCCCGAGTAACCTAAGTAGGATAAGGATTCACATGTACTCCAGCTCATTGTAGAAAATGGTGGAATAACAGGTTCTAATAATGGCACTAGCTAGAGCAACTTGCTCCAACCAGGAGCCGCCCTCACACTTCCCGGTTACAACTGCCATCACTATTAACTACGGCCACCCTTACTGCGACTGATGGGAACTGGAGTCTTACCATCTGGAGCAAAGCAGGTTTGGGACAACTCCCCCTCCCCGGCAATTGGCATGATACGGCCACCTTTCCCTGGCCCACCCCCTTTTTTTTTTGCTAAGAGTAGCCTTGTCCATGTTGCTTGAAATGACAATTGGACAGGGTCGACTGGCATAAGTTAAAACAGCCATCCAAATACTTTTACAAAAGCTCCCCCCCCCCCCCCGACTATGTTGCATGACCGAAAAAGGAACAGCACTACAAATGCTAGATGGCATAGAATTGATGGGGATTTTATGTAGTTTCTTCTTCATTGGCAATTTTCCCCAGCGGTGGGAGGGAAGGGGCAAGATTTTTCTAATTTCTAATGATCACACAAGTCCTGTTCTATAACTGACTACAAATTACCGTATTTTTCGCTCTATAAGACGCACCAGACCATAAGACGCACCTAGTTTTTGGAGGAGGAAAACAAGAAAAAAAATATTCTGAATCTCAGAAGCCAGAACAAGAGGGATCGTTGCGCAGTGAAAGCAGCAATCCCTCTTGCTGTTCTGGCTTCTGGGATAGCTGCGCAGCCTGCATTCGCTCCATAAGACGCACACACATTTCCCCTTACTTTTTAGGAGGGAAAAAGTGAGTCTTATAGAGCAAAAAATACGGTAGTTGATATCTATGAATGAATCGAAAGCAATCCCTTCTGAAATCAGAGGTACATATAAAATATATAAATATTTGTATATATAAAATGCAACTGTATGCACTACTGCTTAGCAGCATATCCAAATTACCACTCTGCTTACACCATTTGAGCAGTAGGCCTAGCATAAGTACTTGCTATTCAGTGAAGACCAACTCCAACAGCTGGAACACTTTTTACTTGTCGCTTCCTGCTAGACAGCAATACATTAGTCCATCTACCATTACAAGCCCATTCTGAAGATCTGGTATTAAAGATTAGGCAAACATCCATCTTCTACTTATTCAGATGTAAAAAAGCACCGTCAAACGTACAAGAGCTAAGCTCACCTTGCCTATTTGTCTCCTTCATTCCTGTCGTATCTCATGCAGATGTTTTCATTTAAGCACTTTACCCAAGATCAGTGTTAAATTCTTGAACAAATTAATCTACATTTGACATAAATATGACAAACATGGTTTCTGTGCACATAAAAATTTCTCCTCTATAATCCCAATAACGTCAGCAATGCTGGTGTTGTTTGTGATATGGCAGTTATAGCTGCAGTTCTCCAAACTATGCTGTTACAAAATTTAGAACCCTTGCATTAGACAGTGTAGCCCTTAAATGTTATTTAGCTGACTGTGAGAATCCAAGACTCCATTTGAATTTAAAATAATCGTTTCAACAAAATGCAATTATAAAAAACTAGCATTTCAAGAATAGTAATGGTGTAGATGTGGAAAATGTTCTAGAACAGAGGTTCTCAAATGTTATACTCCCAGGCCCCACTTGCAGTGATTAATTGCTAAGGCCCAGCAATCACAGAATAGTGGTGAGCAGAGCTAATCACAAAATGCTGGCAGCACTTGACATAATCAGATGGCAATCAGACATAATTTTCCAAAGTTATCAAATCCATCTTTGTAAATATCTAAATTCTTTGCCATGGCATTTCCTTGTGGCAACAAGCTCCACAGCTCAGCTTTCTGCAAGTTAAGTACAGACCTAACTACAGGCTATTGTGACAGCCTCCCGTTTGCTGATCCAGAGGCTCTGGAGGCTCTTTCATATTTCTCCCTTCTCACCCACACATCTGTTATTTTTACTCACCTATAACTTTTTCCATTCACTCAACTCATATCGCAACACAAACTGCAAGTTATATTCATCCCTCCTTTTACATTTCTTTCTTCCTGCTATAATAGCTTCTTATCCACTTGCTTTCTTTCCCAGTTTATTATTTAATATGGAAAATAACATTAATATTTTTATTAACAAGTTTGGAGACACCAAACTTCTCCATCTCCCAACCAATTATACGTCTCCAATTATCTTTGAAGATAACTGAAATATAAAGAAATTGCAGACTATTCTCTACCAGCAGATCCTAGGGCAGAGGCATAGATGGGGGGGCGGGGCGCAAATAGGCACCACACCACAGGGGGCAGCACTTACCGAGGGACCTGACCTGCAGTGCCCAAGCCACATCTCTCCTGGGAGTGACGTGGTGGCTCTAGCACCTGCAGGCTCCACGCTGCCCAAAAAGGCAGCATGGGGCTTGCATCTGCCCACAGCTTCCCCACAGCCGCCCTACAGCTGAGGGAGAGGCAGCAGCAGACTAGAGTGGTTCTATTGTTATTTGAAGAATGTAGTACCAGGATGCAATTTAGGGTTGGTGACCTGCCCCATTAGTAATTGGGGAAAAGTAATTCCTCCCCCCTTTAGATTGCTATCCAAAACAGCATACCACTGCTTTGTCTAAGATTACTTTTTTGAGGAATTTATAAAGTTGATTCTTTTGCACGTTTTTTATTTTCTTTATGTAAATTGTTCTGATTGAGTTTTGTATGAATCTTATAATATGTATCATGTTCTATGATTTGTGTATTTTACATACTTTTTAAATGATCAGATCCAGACTTCTGCGTCTAGAACATTGTACTCTTTGGCCTGAGCTTCCTCTTCCTTAAAAATCGTTTCTGGGATTGAGGGACTTCTCAAGAATAGTGCGAGGCACTGTGAAAGGCTGTAAGGGGAAACTAGGAAACAGTACACACATATACTTCCATTCGCAGAAGAGGCTCAAATCCAGTGGAGGCTTCACCAAACAAAGGGAGGAATCCAATTGGTCCTCCCAGAAGTATTGCTCCAGTGGGAGGCATCCATAAATAGAGGCAATTTTTGCCAACTCCCCCTGCAGTCTGCCACCCCCATCTGTTCTGGAGAATAAGCAAGCTTTGAATCAAGCCTCGCTGTACTTGCCTTACCTGTAATCCATTGCCTGACACACGCATCCCAGAACAGCAGAGAATCGTGCCACCATCTTCAGGCAATTCTCTTATTTAAATATTAGGATAACATGCCTCTTTATATATAATGAAGCTATTTCATTTCATTAAAGGTTGAGCAATATCCCAAAGAGGAATGCTGTGTTCCAACAATTCCTTATTAGTTCAGTTCTTCCTTTACTACATCTTTTCAGAGAATTCCAAGCATGTGTTATTTCAGAAAGCAGAACCCTCCTTTTATCCTAAAGTTTGACTAGGAGGGTGCTTTCATCCAGTGATTATAATGGCTACAAAAATGAGTAGTTTATTGGCACACTAAGTGGCAGCAGTTGTACTCACTGGCAAAGACCTCTGTTTTAGCAGCCACAACTTTCTGTGCAAGAGGAAGACTGCAGCATCCAGCCAGTCACCTTCAGCTTTTATCCTCTAATCTCATAACAAAGCCAGTGTAGAAGACCCTGTTGGGTCAGTTTCAGAATTGCAAAGTTAGAGAAGCTTCACATTTCTGCAAACAGCCCATGCAATCTCTTTACTCCGATCAAAGGTTACTTAACATATTACGAACATATTACTATTCAATTTGTACAAGATTCACATTTTTGGTTTTCGAGCCAGGGTGTGTTTAGCTTGTACTGTAATGTGAAATGTTTACAACTACCTCTCCAATCTACTTCATATAACATAACTGAATATGAGAAGCATATGTACAGGGAATGTAAAATATACAGAAAAGCTTTTTGAAGCTTTCCAAAGGAATTATCTTTGTTTATAGACAAAAGGGAATTTCACAATGCCTTTAAGGCACTTCTGTTCTCTTCTCTTTCAGCAAC